AAGACAAAGCGTTATCTAGAGACTCTTGCTGCATGCATGTGTAGAATTTGTTTACCTGAATCTTGTGGTTTCTTAAGGCGGGATGATCAAAAGCATGTTGTTTATAGATATCTACACAGTCTATAATGTCCCCATCTTCACTCTACAAAATAATTGCAATTGATTCCTGGAACTCATCAGAAACCCAAAAATAAATATTATCTTTTGCCTTCAGATACCATACATACCTTGATAGTTTTGACCGCAGGTTTATTAAGGGCCTTCAGTTTCATATCTATATCTAAAGTAGCTTTCCCGTAGGCTTCATTGACATTGTAAAGGCCACACAAAATCGCCAAGGTTAAGAATATTCTGATCATGGCGACCTTGAGTTTTATTTTTCCTATGAAGAAATAATTGATTTATGATAGGCTTTGAACCTTCTTACTTAGGATCGAGTTTATAAAACCAAATGGGTTTATCTCTTCTACGGAAAAATTTAAAGGTAATTATGATAAACTGCAAAACGTAAATCTCACAGTCAGTCTGCCAGATTTGTCAACGGTTTGGTCAGATTCTTTTCCCTTTGGGGAATTAAACTCATAGTAACTTACCATATATATATATATATATAACCTTAACATATATGAAATTATGAATGCTCTAGTATATATATACTCTTTCCATTTCAAAAAGATGAACATTCTATAAATAATATTTGTTTCAAAAAGATGTATTTTTTTAATATTTTCAATGTATAATTTAATGATAAATTGTAGATTCCAAAAAATTAATTGTGTGTTCTTAAAATTTTATTGGTTAAAAGATATAGGGATTTGTTATCGATGATAACTGATGCATTGATAATCAAAATTTCATGTTTTTTTTAATATATGTGAAAAATGTTAAAACGTTTAACATTTTGAAACGGAGGGAGTATATATATATTTTTATAAAGCTTCTGTATATTTTTAGAAAACATATAAGAAATTATGCTTCAGTATATTTTCTAAAAAAGTCTTTGTCCAAACATGAATGCTGAATGGATTCTCCTTTGACTTTTTGTCTGCTAAAGATTTCTCAACTCAAGTCAAGTTTTTATAACACTAGTTGCATATTCTCCGCGCAAGCGCGGAGCCGTGATCATTATGTTTGCGTGAATTTTTTTATTGTTGTTTTAGTGGATTCTTCTAATGCTACCAAATAATAATGAAATGGAAAGAATGTAGTAAGAATGTAAAGTGAAAATATTGTATATCTAAAGTTAAATGTTATTTATATGCGAAGTAAGATTTATATGAATAGTTATGCTATAATATAGTAGGTGTCTATTTTTATTTTTATTTTGCTGTAAATAGTTTTTATATCGTATGTCAAAACTTGATATAATTCTATATTTATAGTATTTATATTTGTATTAAATGATTTATTAATTTGAAAATAACCTTAATTAAGTTAATATTCGTTGTTTAAGTTTCATTAGATAGGTTTTTCTATATGGTTTTTTGTAAGTTTGGATTTTGTTCATAAATGATTTGGCATTTTTATCTACGGCGTCATTGATTGTGGGAATCCATTCGCTGAAGTCTGGAGTCGGTGGTGAGGAATGTTTTCAATGAAATTATAGTAGTTATTAAAATGTAAGAGAAATTACATATTCATTTAATAAATAACGAAAAATACTTAATTTTTTTTGTTTATTTTATTTTATTTCACATACAAATTTTTTGAAAAAATATTAGGAATGTGCTAAATATTATTTATATGCGAAGCAAGGTTTATAGGAATAGTTATGCTATAATATAGTTTTTAGTGTGTAAAAGTAGGGTTTTTTTGCTATAATATATCGTAGGTCAAAACTTGATATAACTCTATATTTATAGTATTTAAATTTGTATTAAACGGTTTATCAATTTAAAAATAACCTTAATTAAGTTAATATTCGTTGTTTAAGTTTCATTAGATAGGTTTTTATATATGTTTTTTTTGTAAGTTTGAGTTTTTTTCATAAATGATGTAGCATTTTTATCTATGGCGTCATCGACTGTGGGAATCCATTCGCCGGAGTCTGGAATCGGTGGTGAGGAATGTTTTCAATGAAATTATAGTAGTTATTAAAATGTAAGAGAAATTACATATTCATTTAATAAATAGCGAAAATAATTAATTTTCGTTGCTTTTTTTATTTTATCTCACATACAAATTTTTTGAAAATATATATTAGGAAATATGTGCAATGATTTAATTTTTTTAGCTCTTAATCTATAATATTGAAGCCTCATTAAGCCATCACGTAGCCAGCCGCGTGAGATACACTTTTTTTGTTTTGTTTTTTGGTCTGTTCGTGTTTGAATTTATTTTTTATTATTGTTGGGTTGAGCTATATTATAATAGGATAGTTTAAAGGCTTTTTAAGCCATCCGCGTAACGTGAGACTTGTTTTTTTTTTGTTTTTTTTTTTGTTCATTTGGATCTATTTTTAATTATTTTTGGGTTTAAACTTGTTAAGTTCTAGGGATTATTCAACTATTTTGATCTTTAAAACAATAAGCCCAAAAAAATTATAAAAACCTTATAAACAAAAAGCCCATATGATAATAATCAAATAAAAAAAAGAAAAAATACATGATAGCTACGTGGTTTGAATCCACGATCTTGCATACTTAACTAAACACCTTATACCACTTGGCTAAAGTGTATTTTATTGTTTGTAATCACCTTACCAAAACTATGACTGTTTAAAAAATACCTACGGGACCCACAAAATTGTTGACGTGGCGCGTTGTGGAGCCTTGAAAGTCTACTATTATAATATAGACTAGATTTTATACTCGCGCTACGCGCGAGTCTGTATTAATAATTTAATTTAACTTTAAAATAATTTAAAACAAAAAAATTAATTGGGTAACATAATTTTATTATTTAAAATATAATTTTTAATTTAGTATTTGTGTTTTCGTATAATTATGTTATCTTATTAGCTATTTAATTATTTGTATTTGTAAATATAATAATTATGTTGTAAACATATTCATAATTTTTAGAAATATTAATTTATATTTTATAATANTTTTATAATATTAAATAGATTTCTCAACATGTAAACGGTTAACACGTTATAAATTTTCATCATACATTTTTATATTTTTAACAAAATAAATAATTTAACTTCAGCATATTATATAATTTTTGTTTGTACTCTAAAAAATTAATTTTTTATTTTCTCTTTAAGTTGTATAAAATTTTAATATTTAAATAAGTAATATTTACATTTTTTTATATGTAATGAATAACTGTATTTATTAACTGTATTGAGAAGTTCTACTTTGGTTTACTATTCAGTTTTTTAAGAAATAGAAAAATTAATATAATTATTTGACTAATTATTTTTGGTAATTATTTTATGTTATTTTCGAAATTATTTTATAAATTAAGTTAACTTATATATGATGTTTTATTTTTGTATTTTTCATATTTGATATTAATTTATATTTTGTTTTGAAATTAATAATTGTTTTAATATTGACTTTTACAGAAATAGTAAAGTTAAGATAATTTGTTATTTTAATTAATTTCGAAAATCTATAAATGTGAACATTAACTTATATATAATATTTTACTTTTTTTAAGTTTCCCTTATACATATTTATTATTATTACTATTTTTTATTTAGTAACATTAAAATTTTTAAAAATAACAAATTAAGAAACTTACGTGTCATGATAAGATTGTAAGACTTAAATTCTATGTGGTCGTTATAGTCATGTTGACTTTTTCCGAAATATTAAAATTAAGATAATTTGTTATTTTAATTAATTTCGAAAATCTATAAATGTTAAAATTAAATTATATATAATGATATTCCTTTTTAAGTTTCCCTTATACATATTTATTATTATTTTTTATTTAGTAACATTAACATTTTTAAAAATAACAAATCAAAAAACTTATGTGTCATGATATGATTGGAATACTTAAATCTATGTGGTCGTTATAGTCATATTGAATTTTTTCAAAATATTAAAATTAAGATAATTTGTTATTTTAATGTTAAAATTAAATTATATATAATGTTTTATTTTTTAAAGTTTCCCTTATACATATTTTTCTTAGTAACATTAACATTTTTTAAAATAACAAATCAAAAAACTTATGTGTCATGATATGATTGGATGACTTA